CTATATTGAAAAGAAAGTCGAGGCAGATCTGGGGACAACGGTCCTCATTGGGGTAAGAATTGTTCATAAGGACAGCCTCCGTTAGCACCGTAGTTTGTTTTCTCTGTTTTTTAACGTGTTCTTTTACAATTAAATTAAATTTTTTATTCTTAGGTCCACATACGTAATCGGTAGTGGAAAAGGTTTTTTTCGCCACTTCACAGGGTGGTCCATAAGACAACCTAAGGTAGCAGTCAGGAAAATCAGTTAGAATAAGAGAGAATTGAGTTCATATTACTATTTTTACAGGATTCAATCTGCAATCTTGTTAATGCTAGGTTTAGTACAGAGTCGGATCATCGACTATTCGCATTCTATTTATATTCCGATAATAGACGGAAAGGTATTGGTATGGGAACAAAGGGACTACTTGAGGCATTCAAGTAACCAGACGGAATTTAATGCCATTGCAGATGATACCGAAGAACTTATAGAGCTATTCCCACAATCTCACATGCGGAAATTATTAGATGCAGATATAGATCATACTAAGAGCTTACTGTCCGTTGTTGAAATACACCATAGAATGGCCGTAAGCCTAGATTTCCAAGGCTCGGCGTTAAAGGTCATAGCAGGCACACCTGATGCCTCCGACTTCGAAAAGATTAGATGGTCCGAGTCCCAATTAATCGATGCAAGCAATAGGCAATTGATTATCAACTCAGAGACGCAAAGGCAAGTCAACAAACTAACTGACGCAGTAAATGAAATACTAAAAGCAAAAAAGAATAATTTAGTGGACCCACCGCATTTATATGAAACATTATTAGCAAGAAATATAATATTAGTTAATCAAATATCGAATCTAATTCTCACAATTACATTAGCTAAAGCCAATATAATAAATCCAACTATTTTGAATGGACACCCAATAGAAGTCTCCATAGTTAGCCTTACAGAAGCGTCTAAAATTAAGGTCCTCCAGTCTGAAAATGTAGTCCACATATTAATAGCCTATCCTAGGGTAAAATTAATCTGCAAGACGATTACTGTCTATCCCGTGTCCCACCAACATGTCGCACTACAAATGCAAGACGACACCGTAGCCGATTGCAACGATGACATACTTGCAGTCAACGAGTGCGTGTCAACAACCTACGCCTCCGTTTGTAAGATCACAGCACACGACTCCTGCGCACGAGCATTATACACTGGCAGCCTCTTGCCGAACACAACCGAGCCACCTCGAGCCAGTCGCATTAATAGACGATGGTGCCATCATCATCAACGAAAGCACAGCTGAAGTGAGCACTGACGATGGCCCAGAGGTCGTAACAAACGGGACCCACCTCGTCACCTTCCAAATCTCCGCTACCATCAATGGCACAAAATACGCGAACGAGCGCGAGATCATAGGGAAGGCACCAGGCATCGCGGGGTCACCTGTACTCAACATCATCGGTCATGACCCGGTTTTAAGCATGCCTCAACTCCAACGGATAAATAACCATAATCTCCAGGTCATTACCAACTTTAAAAATGAGTTGGCATCCACAGACACATCCAAGCATCTGGCCACAGTCGGCGTGGCTCTCAGCATTACCATCAGCAGCTTCATTATCATCTGGCTAGTTGTAAAAAAATGGTAGACTTCGAGCAAGGTGAAAAGGATCATCAATAGCTATAAGGTGACCGAGGACGGTCAGAAACTTGAGGGGGGAGTAGTTTACACATAAGAGTTACACGTAAATACAATACATAAGAACACCAAAACACTTTGTTTATCCATTCGCTCCAAACGCATTCCGCTGACACAGAAGTTCAGCGCCCCGACTTTGTAGCTTTGGATTTCCGCCTTTAAGTTTAGCTATATGCCTTTCTTGTATTTTTGAGTTCAGAACTGTGAAATGCGCAAACATATAAGTCGCTAATTAACATTGCTCCGGCAATAAAGTCGTAATCATTTTCTATTATTATTATCGCCTAGTCCAAGACTAGCGATAGGGGGTTAAGTCACCTCCGCACCTCACCGGTGGACCAGGAGCAGACATCGCAGTCGCTACGTGGGAGCGCACAACTTCATAATTTATTCATGTATCCATAGGCTAAGTGCATTATATTTACTTTGAATAAATTCAATTCCAAAACCGAAATCAATCAGCACTGAAGTGCTTATGTTGTTATTGAAAAACATTTAATACATTTTTATACACCAGATTACTCTGGCAGACACGATCGCGAAAAAACCGGCTTTTTCGATTAACGGTGAAAAGTACGAATTTAGGCGACTTCCCTTTAGTTTCAAGAATGCAGCAAGCATTTTTCAAAGAACCATAAATGACGTTCTTCGCGAGCAGATTCGAAAGTCGTACTGCGTTTATGTCGATGTTGTCATCGTTTTTTCGGAAAACGAGTCCGATCATGTTTGGCATGTCGACTGGGTTTTAAGAAGTCTTTTAGACGCGAACGTGCGCGTGGCACACAAGAAGTCAAAATGTTCAAAAGAAAGCGTCGAATATCTCTACTTTATAGTGACTAAAGATGGTGCGAAGGCAGATCCAAAAAAAGGTACCATTCGGTAATACCGAGTACGGAGTTCGGTGTAAGATCTTTTTTGGGGTTGGCAAGTTATTACCGCTGCTTTTTCAGCAATAGCGAAAGCAATCTCCGACAAAATAAAAGGAAGCTAACTAACTAAGCATCGTCTGGGCATTGGGCAAATTGTGACACTTTCTATTCGGTATTAGGGATGTTGGATATTGGCTGCACCAGGTGCGGAGCCCCAAACTGCCCGTAGATATATGCGGTCTGCGGCGTGGTTACCAACCGAGCCGGCTTTAAGGGTTTTGCACGATTGATGGGAATGAGGAGGTTAGCAAACGAATCCCAGTTCACGAGCGGGGTTGTTCATTTTAAACTTTAACCTTTATTGAACTTAACCTAAAAAACTATAATTATTAATTTGACCTACATAGAGCATACGTCCGTTGACTAGGACTGACGCTCACAGACTTCAACATATGTCGCAAATTCCGCTGTTACTAAGTGTGCAAATTCAAAGCTCAATAGAATTACGAAATACAAGAAAATAAGATAACTTAAAGTGACAGGACTGAATGCTCGAGCGCTTGAGGGAGCCACTAAATTCAACTCAACTCAACCGTGATAGCGCGTGATCAATTGAGTGATAAGACATTACTCAAATGCGGCTGATCTAAGCGCAGGTGCATTTTCATTAATCGCTCTTTTCATGCGCTCTCTTATAATATCCGCTCTTAGGCTGGCGCAATTGCTCTTGCTGATAGGCTGTAGCCCAAACAAGGGATATAAACATTTTCACTAACCACCAGCCTAGCCTCTCACGTTCTCGGTATTTGAGAGAAATCCCAATGCAAAAATACAGCGCTGGAAAGCGCGCAGGGGCCAAGCTATGCTATAAGGCTGGTAAAGAAATTCATGTAGCTCACGCGCTGTCTCGCCAGAACGTGAACACCCTACAGAGCAATCGCGATGAGCTAGAATCTGACGCGGCAACGATTCTCAATCAATTGTCCCTGTCTTATACATTCGATTCGACGGAGAATCCTCTAAATTGCTTTCGAAACCAGATTGTATTAGCGGACGTACGCTTTCCTCTAAAAAGGAATTTCAACCTTTTCATCAATAGGGACGGCCCCTGTACAACAATAAAGACCGTCATTAACCCAAACTTACATACCACTGTACTCTTCCAGCTTTGGATAGTTTCCCACACCAGTTAAAAAGGGCCTTTCCAACTACGAAGTTTGGGTAAACATTTCGTAGCCGGCGTGTCCAGTGGTAGAAGAGAAATTATCAAAACATTAGAGCACATAGGGCGGCCCAGGAGAATGTTGATCTGTTTCGGAATACTATTTTTCTAAAATGAACAAATTGGGTAACGAGGTTGTCTTGAATTGTAAGATTTACACAAGAGCAAAATACGACAGACAACCGCCAGTCCCCTCACAAACCGTAGAAGTGTTACATATTGACAATTTTTCTACGGACAAAAAATTCTTCCTTACTTGCGAAGACAAATTCTCAAAGTTTACGGTGGTCCAGCCTACCGCATCTCGAACGATAGAAGACTCGAGACCGTCTCTGCTGGTGTTAATGAACAATGAGCTCGCATTCAAGTCAGAGACCATTAGGTCTCTGCTATTGAATAATTATGGCGTAAGCGTGCTAAACGCGCCTTCCCTTCTCAGCACGTCTAATCGGCAGGTAGAGCGCTTTCATATAGCCAGGTGCTTAACGCTTCAAAGGGGTATAGTTGGCGAGGTTAGGGGTAAGATAGTAGGGCCCAAATTCAGCAGAACGCCAGGGTTCACCAAAGGTGACAGAACAGAGTCTTTGAAGTGGGTGAAAAGGTCCTGGTAAAGATAATCCGCAGATTGGGCAACAAGCTATCGCCTTTGAGTGTCGAAAAAAGGTTGAAGTGGACTTGGAGGCAACGGTTCTTATCGAGGGGAGAGTGGTCCACAAGGACAACCTCCGTTGACGTTTTTAAAAATAAAAACAATTTTACATAACCCTTTAATAATATTAGTTTCAAAATTTCAGGATTACGTTTATCAATCTTTCAATCATGACCATGACGACGGCACGGGTGACGCACGTGCACTGCATACCAATCACGGACGGGGACACAACAATGACTGAAGAGACTATGAAACTAACGGGACTACTTCAACATTCACATAAAAGGAAATTGCAGGAAGTTGACACTGGACATGTACTAGACATGTTGTCCGCTCTCGATGTGCACCATCGAAAGGTGAGAAGCCTTGACTTCTTGGGAACAGCCCTTAAGGCTGTAGCGGGCACTCTGGACGCAAACGACTTTAGGAAAACATAACTGACGAAGAGGCAGCTGGTCACTAGAAGCAATAGACAAATTTCCATAAATTCCAGCAAACTGGAAGCTGTTAGCTAACTCAAACTGTATTTGTGAATACATATAAAAACAAATGAAAGTGCATTTATAAATGAATTAATTTATATATAATTCTTACATAGATTGTGTTGTGATAGGTTTTTGACAGGTAACACTAGTAGAAGACATCCAATTTTGCCGACATTTATACCGACATTGAGTAGCTTGTTTCAGTATAGGCCTGGTAAAAACTTTCTGAAAATAATCACAAATAAAATTTTTCTTTCAGTAAAAGTCAATATATTTATTCAGTAAAAATGCTTTTGTTACTGCCGAAAGCTGTCGGGAATGCCGAAACTACGTTTTTCGTCAAAGCCGAAAATTGCAGAACACTTGGTTTTTCGCAGGTAATGGAAATGAACACTTACTTGCGTTACAAATAAGAGATATGGGCTATCGAATTACATCCTAATAAGTTTGAGTTTACTTTTCATTTTCATTCATTTCATTCATAGCTCGCGTTCAAGCTTGACTTTGAATTACACTACTTAGTTTTCGAGCGTATTCTTTTATGATTAATAGTCATCCGCCAGCACTTGGCATAACGTTCTGTAGAACAAATTTAAAAGCAAGTACATGTAAACCGACAATGAAGCATATCACTGTAAAAAGTCCTTGCAGCAGGATTATGCTAGTGCACTTCTTGGTATATCTTTGGGTGCAGCGGTACCAACTCCTGTAACGACGTTAGCTGGTCGTGACTGAGGGAAGTGTTAACAAAGCATAACATTAACATAACAGACGTGACAGCTACAACACGCAGTACGAGTCCTCAAGACTGGCTACCAGAGTCTGGCATCTACGACGAGTACACCCAAGACAGCCACAGCCGATGAACAGTACCACAGAAATGCCAACGCCAGATACGATCTGTGCGCAGGCTAGAAACATAGCATTAACGACTGGCACGCACATAAGTTATGCTCCCTTATGGGCGCCAACAGGACCTGGGGAGCATCCTACATACCACTCCTTCGAGTTCTATACAAGCCGTGCGTAAGCTGGGGAGTCATATGTCACCAGCCGGCGATCTACTTCCCGTATAATCAACTCGGGAAAAGACAAAACAAGGCATTCGAGTGTATTGTATTTAACGAGTTCAAGCAAGTAATATTGACCGAAAGCGGGGAATCGTTTTACTAAATATGGTTAACGTTAAATCCACCAGCGGCTTCCCACATGGGGGCCGAATCAAAAAAGAAAATGTTGTATATCATCTACCCAGCAATGAACCCCACAGAGCTTTTGAGCACCTTATGTGAAGTGCACTTTATAAATAACCCACAACTACTCACGTTCGTGTCAAACCAAAGACGATGAAACCAACAACGCTCAATACGTAATAATGATCTTGCGGGCGCAAAAAGTGGCTCGCCAAACGACCTTCTGCTCGGCGGTTTCCTCCTGTTAGTCGTCAAGAATATGATACACAGCAACAAAATCAAAAACATTATTGGTGAAGGCGATCATCAGAACGTGGTGTACGTCAGGAGTATTAGAGACCAACAAGCTCGAAGCGAGAAACAATTTACCGGTGAACGAGCGGCCATGTAATGCCAAAAGTACAGGGGCTTACCGCTAAAGCCGCCTAATTTGCACATTTGCAGATTATTTTCTGCATCTTCTTTGCCGTTATACTTGGTTTGGCTCATATGCTGGAAGGTCATCAGGCTTAATTTACGCCAGCTGGTTGTCGTTCTAAAGTATGCTCGGGAATACCCTTTACCATAATTGGAAAGAGTAATTGTACTTTAACCCTAGTATCTTTTTTAAAATAAGGTGCGTAACGAAATTATTCGAAACTATTAAAATCTTACTTTAAACACCCGCCAAATCGAAAATGTTATTTTATCAACTCACACAATGGAATAAAATGAGAATGTGCAATAGAGAACCATTAATTCTATTTTACCCTGGAAAAGTCCCGTTAGATTAGCTTAGTTTTTGTTTTTTTCTTTGTTTATTCCTCAATAATGGATGAAAAATAGCATACATTTTTATTACAACACAGTTGGCTTAGGTGTAGATGTTGGCTTAGCTTAGATGTTTCGCCAAGCCTGCTTGAGTTCTCAGGCTTTATCGTTTTGAATAAGGCTTTATCGTCACGTGGGGGACTCTGGGGCGTCTCATATGTCGTGGTTTCCCTCCCCTACATGCAAAGCGGTGATCAGGATGGCCAATGTGATCCATAAGCCTTGCAAGTCGGGCGACAATCAGTCATTCCCAAACCTTCGACAAGGAAGGCAGACGACAGATCGGACGAGATGACTCAGGGTCATATTACGGCTTGCCCGACTTATGGATCATATAAATTCTCGCTAACTTCCACTGGGCAGGTAGGTGTTGCGTCCTTAATATGGCGCCTTCAGTACGAAGTGGCATATTCCATCATGGCCCGGAGCTTTAGTCCTAGGAAGGACTTTGACGACGTTGATTACGTTGATCCACGCGGATGGAACAGATAGGTGGTGACATCTGTATCGGAGTCTCCAACGCTCGCGTAGTCAAATCGAGCTCTTCTAGGGAGGCCGAATCGAATGTTGAAAACCGTTCCTCCAGGTGGCTGTCGAAGGTGTCACCGTATTATCTAGTACTGGCGTCTGACAGCAGAATTATTCAGATGGTGTGTTTTTATATTAGGACCTCCAGCTCTAGTACTTTAACTGAAATGCCATTGGCATTCCAGATTCGAAATATTTAAGCATTTGCCAAATCGAAAATGTTGTTTTATCAACTCACACGATGGAATACAATGAGAATGCAAAGGGTAATTTAATATAGAAAATTGTTACATTCTATTTGTAGCCTATGCTGGAATTAGATTTGCTACTGAAAGTCGAAAAAGTTAACGAAATTTTAGAAATTAATTGGTCGAACATGCTGCGTAATCAATTGTTTTTTTAAAAATCAGGAAGGATACGGCAAAAATAATAATACTGGACAATAATCCAACCTGTCTGGCCGCACCAAGCGTCAAATTTTGAAAAAAGGAAGTAATTCGACCTTGTCGTATCGTCAACTTGCTACATACAGCAGCATTCCAATGTCCCCAATGTGAGTTTTTCGTACTTTGAATACATCCAAATATATAGTCCAAGGAATAATGAAGAAGAAGTTAACTATCAAAAATCACCATAAAGCAGCACGACTTGAATTCACTTTCAAATACCTTGATTCGTGCTAGGACTTGGTAAGGAATTGTCTTGCAATGTTACATGCAACATAAGTTTTTTAAATATGTTTTTTATAAAAGGTTATTTTTTCCCGTTGGCGAAGCAGGTGTATTGCGACAATGAGCTCTCATTCAAGTCAGAGACCATTAGGTCTCTGCTATTGAATAATTATGGCGTAAACGTGCTAAACGCGCCTCCCCTTCTTAGCACGTCTAATCGGCAGGTAGAACGCTTTCATATAGCCAGGTGCTTAACGCTTCAAAGGGGTATAGTTGACACGGACGACCTTATCCTACAGGCCACTATCGAGTGTAATAGATCAATCCACTCAGTGTTTGATGAAAGGCATAAGGACATCTTGCTTAACTCTTCGCCTAAAGGTACCCGCGAGGTTAGGGGTAAGATAGTAGGGGCCCAAATTCAGCAGAACGCCAGGGCTATCCAAAGGCGCCAGAACAGAGTCTTTGAAGTAGGTGAAAAGGTCCTGGTAAAGATAATCCGCAGATTGGGCAACAAGCCATCGCCTTTGAGTGTCGAAAATGGTTGAAGCGGACTTGGAGGCAACGGTTCTTATTGAGGGGAGGGTGGTCCGCAAGGACAACCTCCGTTGACGTTTTTAAAAAGAGAAACAATTTTTCATTACCCTTTAATAATATTGGTTTCAAAAATTCAGGATTACGTTTATTATACTTTCAATCATGACCATGACGACGGCACGGGTGACGCACGTGCACTACATACCAATCACGGACGGGGACACAACAATGACTGAAGAGACTATAAAACTAACGGGACTATATCCACAATTCCCATAAGAGGAAATTGCAGGAAGTTGACACTGGACATGTACTGGACATGTTGTCCACTCTTTATGTACACCATCGAAAAGTGAGAAGTCTTTTGACGTCTTAGGAATATCCCTAAGGGTTGTAGCGGGCATTCTGGACGTAAATTTCCATAAATTATAAAGTGCAAGAAAAGGTTAACCAACTGACCGACTCAGTAAAATTCTCAAATCCTCAAAAGATAAGCAGGCTAACTTAGGCTATTTTTTTTAAGCCCAGCACACGCTACAGAATGATGATAACAGAAATAGGGACACTTATGCTTACTTTAACTTTAGAAAAATTTAAACGAAATAAATAACAAAATTTGATCACTTTTATTTAATGAATATTCTCACTTACGAAGTTACAGGACAAATAACAGACATTTTTAAAGTATCTAATTTTAAAGTAGAACATAAGAACAATGTAATAAATCATAAGTCAGTTCCCTATAATAAGCAAGCAACACAGAAAGATAATCATTTTCTCAGTCGCCCTCAATGGTTTCGTACGGCAATTTTAGCTGTAGCAATTTGTTCACAAACAGCAAGTGCCACATTCTGCAAGCAGTCCGAAAGGATCCATTGTGGGCAAGGTCTTCATGTAGGAGGTACGGCTCATTGTCAAACGAGTCACCGAGTCACCTCGCCCCTGTCAACATAATGGATGACGGCAATACTTAGCTAGCACGAGTGCGCTGCGATAAAAATAGATGGGACAAACCTTGTCACCTTCACGTCCCATGCCGCTGTAAATGGCACACGATACTTAAATCGAATGAACGTGCAAAATCGGTACCCGGCAGAAGCGGCATCCCCGTTACTAAACATCAGCAGTCATGACCCGGTGCTCAGCGTTCCTTACATTCATCGTCTGAGTGAGGAGAAACTTAACTACATCAGAGAGATTAAAGACAGTGTCGCAGTCGGAAACAAATCGGCAATTTTTTTCGATATATTGTTGTTTGCTTGTGCTGTGGGAGCTGGAGCCTACTGGTTTCATCAGCTGGTGATCAGAGTCTTGATCGCGGCGGATGTGTCGCAACTAAATTGCCGGCCACGAGAGTCATCCGATATACACACGAGGCGCTAACACTGCACATTTGACGACAGCGACGGCGACTCATTTCAGTAGTCCAAGTTGAGATATGAATAGAGCGAGGTGTATCGACCCTTTATATAATTCACTCACTCTAGTTAGCTAACTCAAACTGCATTTGTGAATGCAAATAATCGAACCAAATGAAAGTACATTTATAAATGAATTAATTTATATATAATTCTTACATCAATTGTGTTATGATAGGTTTTTGACAGGTAACACTAGTAGAAGACATCAAATTTTTCCGACATTTATACCGATATTGAGTAGTTTGTTTCAGTATAGGCCTGGTAAAAACTTTCTGAAAATAATCACAAATAAAATTTTTCTTTCAGTAAAAGTCAATATATTTATTTAGCAAAAATGCTATTATTACTGCCGAAAGCTGTCGGTAATGCCGAAACTACGTTTTTCGTCAAAGCCGAAAATTGCAGAACATTTGGTTTGTCGCAGGTAATGGAAATGAACACCTACTTGCGTTACAAATAAGAGATATGGGCTATCGAATTACATCCTAATCAGTTTAAGTTTACTTTGGTAACGGATAGCAACACGATTTAATTCATAGCTCGCGTTCAAGTTTGACTTTGAATTACACTACTTATTTTTCGAGTGTATTCTTTCATGATAAATAGTCATCCGCCAGCATTTGGCATAACGTTCTGTAGAACAAATTTAAAAGCAAGTACATGTAAACCGACAATGAAGTATATCACTGTAAAAGGCCTTGTAGCAGGATTATGCAATATAGGGCAATTCTTGGCATATCATTGGGAGCGGTACCAACTCCTGTAACGACGTTAGCTGGTCGTGACTGAGGGAAGTGTGTTAACAAAGCATAAGATAAACATAACAGACGTGACAGCTACAACACGCAGTACGAGTCCTCAAGACTGGCTACCAGAGTCTCGCTAGCCAGTCTGGGACTCATCTTTGGAAGCAAGCGTCTACGACGAGTACACAACCGATGAGCAGTACCACAGAATTGCCCACGCCAGAAACGATCAGTGTGCAGGCTAGAAACATAGCATCAACGACTTGCAAGCAGATAAGATGTGCTCCCTTATGGGCGCCAACAGGACCCGGGGAGCATCCTACATACCACGCCTTCGAGTTATGTACAAGCCGTGCGTAAGCTGGGGAGTCATATGTCACCAGCCGGCGATCTTCTTCCCGTATAATCAACTTGGGAAAAGACAAAACAAGGCATTCGAGTGTATTGTTTTTCCCGAAAACGGGTAATTGGGGAATAAATTCGGTTCGGATCAAAAAAAAATAAAGTGTATACATCTACCCAGCAATGAACCCCACGGATGCAGAGCTTTTAAGCACCTTATGTGAAGTGCACTTTATAAATAACGCACAACCACTCACGTTCGCGAAGGCGAGTGGTCATCAGAACGTGGTGTACCTCAGGAGCATTAGAGGCCAGCAAGCTCGAAACGAGAAACAATTTACCGCTGAACGAATGTTAATGCCAAAACGATAGATTATTTTCTGAATCTTCTTTACCGTTATACTTGTGTAGTGTGTATATGCATTAAATAACACCCTGTTGCATACAATAACAAACATAAAGCCAAAAGCGCAGAGCCGCTTGAGTTTATTGACTCAGGCTCATATTACGCAGCGTGAACTGCGAGTACTCTAGCTGGCCGTTTAGCTGACGGCGCATATCCCATGCTTGACTTATGTACCAAGAGTACCATATATGTATTCACAAATGCATGCACATACCACACACTCTCTCTCTTTTAACTATGCTCTGCTGCGACAGATACCTATACCTATATCTAAGGTTTTGAAGCGGACAGAGTTCCGAATAAAGAACATTCCAAAAATGATTATAAATCAGCATTGACGTGCATGAACTTTTTCTCTACATGGCGACCTTGACAGGACGTCACCCAACGAGGGAACAGTCTATACAATAACAACAGTAACAAGATGGAAGAGCATCAGCAATAACAACAGCTAATAAAACAAACGACAATCGGCAAGGAGCCGTCACCTGGAAACGACGCAATCCAGAAACAAAATAGTACTTGGAGCCGCAGCTACAGCAGCAGAAACAACAACAGCAACAACGTCACATGGCAAACAACGAATCGAAAACTTATGTTATCGCGCTGCTGAAGGCAAAGGTCGAGGACAAGGCCCGCCAACAGCGATTAGCGGAGGAAGTGAACGAGGAAGGTACGAAAACTAACAATTGTCTCAGTTCAAATAACTAATTAACACTTTGTAGTGTAACTTTATTCTAAGTAAAATGTTTTAAACTTGACATTTGATAATGTAAACTACAAAGTGTTCCCCTTTCGAGTTCATAAAATTCATTTATAACACAAATTGAAGTGAGATATAAAGTTTTGATTTAAATATCACAAATTGATTATTCAAACTTTTAAATTGCAAATCAATTATTCAAATTTGTATACTTCAAGCCTTTAAAACGGAGGTATTATTCACACTCCATAATCATCTCCCTTGGTCCACCATGGGATTAATAGACGCAAACACGGTGGATTATACAAAGTGCACAATAGGTGCTTAAAGAAAAAATATATGAGTGCAAACGACTTAGATAAAATAAAATAAAAAAAAACGATAATTTCTTTTTGATTTTGATGTCTCCTCAAAACACTCAATGGCTACGAACAAAGCGATAGCTGAAGTTTATTTACGAGACCCACATTTTAGGGAAAGAGTTCAGCAATTTACTGCAACTCCAATAAGTATATACGAACTTATGTGTCTATATATGGAATCTCGATCACCCATCTCTGATACATTGCTCAAAAACGCAAAAAGGAATAGTATTAAGTACTATGCTTGGTATACAAGCGAAATCAGTAATTAAAGAACACCCAATATTAGGCAGAACGTTAGATTTTGTAGCATTAAAAAAAACACACAACAATTAGAACACCCTATTTTAGGACCTCCTGACATTATTATTTTGCGTTTGCACAGATAAATTAAAAATGTCTCTAAATGGAATTGAGGCAAATCGTTACCATTCTTAGGGGACAACGTGAGTAGTTTAATAAATCTTTCAAGTGCCTTAACTAAAGCGCACCTGCCTCAAACGAGACAGAGCTAAAACACGTTAAAATGCTTGTAGATTCCTACAATATCAGCCGTCCACTTATATGTGACAATGCAACAAAACTAAAAGATTTGCATTTAACACAATCAGTTGAGGCATTAAGCACGTTGAGAGAAAACATTAAACGAATTTCGGAAAGACATAATATAACAATATTCCTTCCAAATTCTCTTAACACTTCAGCATCATTCGAGGGGAAACTACTTTCAATTCCAGCTGATACTGAACCATCAGATTCTAAAGTAAATACCCAATCAATTGACAACACAATGGCCCTAACAGCTATAAGTTTTCTCAAACTAGCCTCATCGCTCTTACCAGAGTTTGATGGAATGGCAGAAAACTTACAAAGCTTCAAAGATGCTTCGAGTCTTATGGACTCTATAAGAGAAGATCATGAAGCAACAGCTGTCAGTCTTATAAAGACAATCTAAAAAGCCATACACGAAACTTGATAAGCGATGAAAAAACAATCGCCGAAATAATATCAAAATTATCAAGAACGTTAAAAGGAGAATCAGTTGAATTATTATCAGCTAAACTCCTAAGCCTACAGCAAAAGAACAAAACTGCCAACACTTATGCACAAGAAGTTGAGTACCTGGCAAAAGCTCAAGCACCAAATAAAACACAACCCAAGCTGTAAAGGCCATGATCAAGAACTGCGCTGTAGATAGGGTAAAACTTATCATGCAGGCAGGCACATTCAATAACTAATACTGTCCTTTATTACCAAAATTACTCTCCTCGTGGAGGAAACCGCGGCAGAGGCAATTATAGAGGCCGACCATACAACAGAGGTGGCTGCAGAACTACCAATAATAATGGTAATAGAAACAAACAATGACAATAACAGAGGCAATCGGCGAAGCAGCTTATATAAAGACGGCTCAAACAGAGGACCCAGATAGCAAAACCAGATCCGAGTTGCACAAGGCAACTCGGAAAACCAACAAACCCCCTTGAGCAACGAATAATAAAAATTTTGCTATGTCTCAGTAGTCACATCAAAAAAACAATGGGAAAAATAATATTCCATTAACTCTGCTAGTAGATACAGGAGCAAATGTCTCGATTTTAAAGAACAATAAAACAGATTCAAATATAAATCAAGACTACAGAACAAGTATCACAGGAATCGGACAGGGAACAAATGAATCAATTGGACAGTCCACAATTGATCTACTTTTCGACTACTTTTTAATCAGTTACAATTTGCAAGTAGTCCACAATGAATTTTCCATACCTTGCGGTGGAATTCTTGGACTCGACTTAATCAGAAAATTCAATTGCAAATTAGATTACCAACATGATGAATTCATCATGAAACCTGAATCACTTAATTATCAAATACATGTACCGCTATTACATAATGATATTGTTAACTCAATATTATTACCAGCTAGATAAGATGTAATGAGAATATTTACGCTTCTGATAAATGAAGATACAGGAAATACACGCTTGGGTATTAATTGCAAACAGTATCGTAACAAGTAATAGCGCAATAGTCCGTATTTTAAATACAACTAGCAAAAATATAAAAATTCAAAATCCCAAAATAAAATTTGAGAATAAGAATATGAAATCAAAATAAATAACATTAATACCAGCAATAGAACAAATGAAGTCATAAATAAATTAAAATTCCCTGTCCAATTTAAAAACAAGCTTATGTATCAAATAGAGTGAAATATTTGGTCTAGAAACAGATACAATTTCAAGTCATAATTTTTATAAACTAAAATTAAGATTAGCAGACAAAACACCCGCGTATATTAAAAACTACAGAAATGCAGAAACAGAAAAACCAGAAATGAACAGGAAGGTCGAAAAACTAATAACATGGTATAGAGAACCAAAGACAATCTAAGCACTAAGATGAGTAACGCCCATACATTTGCATGCGACGAAATATTTCTAGCCTGGCTTCCTAAACTGGCTTTTACGAGTTCGCACGACATGGCAGTCGACTGCTGTTCATTTAGACGAGCAGCGAAATTAGTCGCCAGCCTGCCTTCAGCAAAGCTGGTCGATGGTGTTTTGCGTCGCTTCGTTTTCGAAGTACATTGAGCAAAAAAGTTTTGAATTTACGATCGACGCAAAGCACTTTTGGTTTATCCATGAAATACATGCTTTATTAATATGATATATTACCCTAGATACTAACGATAACTTTTACAGGAAAATTT